AAAAAAAAAAAAAAAAAAAATTCTCCCCCCCTAAAAATCGGCTCTACTAAAATAATTATAAATTTAAGGGGGGAAGTTTTAGTTCCCCCCCCCCCCCCCATTTGTTCTTTCAGGAAGTTTGTTAGTATGTGGGTGTGTGTCAGAGTCAGGGACGGTTATTTCTTTTTGTTTGTAATTTTGTTAGTCACCCAGAGCCATTTTCAGAGTTGGGTGGACTAGAAATTGGTTTAAAAAATCAGTAAGGTGTCTTGTGACCCTCTTGGGGGTCATGACTACAATAACTGATAACTAATTAGCTAATAGAATAATTATTACTGATTTCTACTAAAAACTGATTGCAGGGTAGCTGAGAAGCACTGGATAATATTATTAGTACTTAGTATCAAGGGTTGACTGATGCAGAAGACACTGAACTAATAATACAGTATCTTCCTCACCTTAACAATGGACGGGAAGCAATATTGCTCAGAAGAATAGCCTGTAAATAAAGGCATCGTAACAGGTAGGTTTAATCATGATAGAAAATTGCTAAATTCTTGAACCTGTTTCCATAAGTGCAGAAACTTGGCTGGAGAGAGTCTGTGTCCCCCACCCCCACCCCAGGACTAAAGCAGTGGAAAATTCCCTCCTGGCAGAAGGCATTCCTCTGATCTCTTAGGACAGGGCTTTTGGGCCATGACAGGAAGTGTTGACTCTCAGCAGGTGGCAGCATCTGGTCAACATTTAAATTTTTATATATTAACATAGTGGTAATTTTAGATACTTACATTTTATATTTTATATTTAACATAATCTCAGTGACTATATTTTCACCTAGTACAGACTGCACCTTAGATTGTACCCACAGAGTTTAGTTAGATAGTTTTATAAATGCATTTTAATTTAATTTTAATTTTTAATTTTATTTTAGGTCGCTGTCATTTTAAGACAGACTATGTATACTTTCCCCTTCATGGATCACTGCCTTGTCGTGGCGAAGGGGCTTGTGTAACTCAGGGAAGCCATGAGCTA